AAGCCCCCCGCCAGCTGGCTGGGGGCTTCTGGGAGTTGAAGTCCACCCATCTTAAAGTTGCCGAGGTCGAGAAACACTGTGTTAGAGGCACAGGAGCAAAACTGATACAGAAAGGTGGCAACCTTCTTTCCCAGCTTCACAGAAACCTCAGTTTCAGCCTGGCCTAACTGATCTGGCTGGGACATTTGGTGAGTAGAGCTATCATTTAAAAGCCAGTTAAGCGTGCTTTGCTTGGCCTTTGAGTGTGGCAGAGGTCCATTTGGATGAAAGGGGCAGATTTCAGGCTTGTAAAATCTACGTGAAGAAAACATTCAGCAGGATAAATAGAGAAGGGGAAGAAGGAGGCTGTTATTAAGAAACGGGAGTAGGAAGTCCTGAATTATCCCCAGCGAAGCATCCAGAATTCAGTTTTGTCGCAAGTTTTCCTTGGTTGCACTGAACATCACGGCAAGGTTAAAACCCTGAATTCTTGAATTAGGTTGGTTTGTTGGTTGGACTGATACCCTGTCTTTGGTTAGTACCCGAAGGCAGCGTACATGTTGTCTGCAGGAAGGGTCAAAATCTGCAAGCGCAGGGTTGCAATTTTGTAAATTTTGAGCACTTCCCTCTTTTTCCCACAGCAACCTGGGAGGGCTAAGGAAGTGTGACTAGCCCAGAGTCACCCATGAAGCTTCTAAAAGTGAGGATAATCAGAACCTGGGTCTCCCTGATGTCACTCCAACACCAATCTCCCTGAGCCCTAACCGTGCCATACCCAAAACTGCCTAATGTTCCAGTGTCAGAGGCAAGCCAGACCGGCAAGAATGCCATTTGGTGGTCTTATCTCTACCAAGAGTCCATCCGGTGGCTTTAGACTAGCCAGTTTCTCCCAACCTCAGTTCCCAGTTTTTAAATTTGGGGACCCCAGATGCTGCTCTGTAGGGTTGTTGCCAAGAGCACAATAGGATGAGTTCCGCAGATCTGCAAGGCTGATTAGTAAAAAGAGAATTTGGGGCAACAGGCCTGCTTGAAGGTTTTGGTTTGCCATCCTCTTGCTGAGCGATCGGGGTAGCAGCAAGGGGACCCTGATTGATTATGTGCCATCCACTTGGTGTCGACTCTTAGCAGCTACATAGATCGATTTTCTCCACGACAGTCCATCCCTAACCTGGCCTTTCAGCAATTTCAATGGTGCCCCCATCGCCACTGACTGAGTCCATCCCCCTGGCCTCTGGTTGTCCTCTTCTTCTCTTTCCTTCCACCTTTCCCAGCATTACAGCCTTCTCCAGAGAGCTGGGCCTTCGCATCCTGTGTCCAAAGTAGGATCATTTGAGCCTGGTCATTTGTGCCTCCGGGGAGAACTCCAGGTTGATTTGTTCAGTGATCCTGTGACCTGGTTCCTTGGCCGTCCATGGTCTTCTCTATGAGATTGTTGTCCATGCTCTCTGAGTTGAGCTGAAGGGTGGAGAGTAAGAAACAAGAGCCTCAGGGTGTGGCTTGGAGGATGGGAAGAAAGCAAGCGCTTAACAGTCTTAATCTGCAGTGGGAGGGAAGGGGGGGGACGCTGCAAGGTAAAAATGACTGCAGGCAGAAAAGAGAGGCTGAGGGAGAACTTATTCCTGTCCTTACAACTTTATAATACAGGATTCCCCACCATCCGCCTGAGTGACCAGGAGGGCCCTATCCTTGAGGGCAGCAACTTGACTCTGGAATGCCTGATCGATGATGGGGACGATCTGTCTGAATTCACCTTCCAGAAATATAGCAAGGTCGGTTCACCAAGGAATTTGCTTCAGCTGATACTTGCCCCTAACAAGCAAGCCTTCCCACGCCCTCTGTTAGGGATGCTGCGCTGCTGTGGCCCGTGACTTACCGAGCACCAGGGAGGCACAACCCAAAAACGAACCAACCATGTGTAGCCCTTGAGAGGTAGATTTTAAGATCCCTTTCTCACCTCGCTGATAAGCTGTTGGTTTTTGATCAAGCCACAGTTGGTTCTGCATGACCTATTAAATCACCATTCACAAACTTCAATACTGGATTCACAGAGGCAAGTATCTTGCTCAGGTCCTCACCAAAGCCTTCCTCAAAGTAATACCCTCTGGAGCAGTGTTTCTCAACCTTCCCAATTCCAAGATGTGTGGACTTCAACTCCCAGAATTCCCCAGCCACTGTACATTGACATTGTACAGAACTTAGAGCTCAGGTCCTAGGGGATGAACCCCCCCCCCCAAATTTCTACCAAGCTATAATTTTTAGTTGTGACAGAAGCAGAAAATGTGATACACAGGGAGCAAGTAATCATATCAATCGTATTTAATTCATTGATCTTCATGTTCATTCAAATGGAAAATTATGTCTTGGCTTGAACGCCTTGCAACTCTGGAGCATGCGCTCCCAGTCATATCATTTAAAGATCAAGTGTAACTCTTAGTTTGAAAAAAGTTGAGCACTTTTGGTTTAGTTTAACTCTATGTTATGCATGAAGTTGTGGAGTTATGGCTTAACCAACAAGCCATAGTTAAACATCCTTTCTTCCTGAATTACCATGTCTGTGCTACATCTGTGGCTGATTTAATCAATATTTATACCTAGACTCCCAATGTCATTGCCTGGTATTGCAAAGATTTAGCTTTAAATGAAGTGCCCTGAAGTCTGCGATGCTATGACTTTACTGAGATGAGATGCTCTGCTCAGAAAAGGATTCTGTTGCCCTCCTCAGCTGTAAGCAAGGAAGAGCGCGCCCTTCCTGGTTAAGGCTGATGAGCAACATAGGTGTTTCTCCTCTCTCCAGTGGCTGCACTCCTGGATCTCTTTGGATAAAACTCATGAATTGCGTTGCTGGTTTTATGATGTTGCTGTGAGTCGTGACAACGGGCGCCTCCTGCTGAAGATCAGTGACCTCCAATCCTGGCACGCCGGACCCTATCGCTGCGCTCGCATGAATGCCACCAACAACAACACCGTCTCCAACGAACTGGACGTGCACCTGGAGTGTACGTGGGGTTTTTATTCCCCTTCTAGCCACCAGAGGGCAGTAGATAAACAGGAGATGAGGACTAGGAGATTGTGCTATCCGTTCCTTAGACTGCACCCCGCAGTGTACCCGTATCCTTGCAGTCTGCAGTAGAGTGTATCGCTGAAGAAGGCAGAGAATGAAAAGAGAGGGATTTGAAATGCCAATACGGAGCACATTTACGAGCGGAGGAAAAAAACATTCTCGCAGGCATGGTTGATCTCAGCCGGCACGGCTCCATTAACAGGACAGATTTAGAAGCAGAAGCAATCTATCTGGAGCCCTGCCCGTCCTTTACAGAATCATATATGCGGGGCGGGGGGTGGGAGAGCTAGACGGAGAAGTGCTTCTGAGACCCAGCAGCTGAGCCCCTGAGCCTCGCCCAGCTGGCGTTTCAAATTGAGAAGGGGCAGGGGGTGATGGAAAACAAGGAGGGCCGACTTTCCCTTTCTTCTCCCCTTCCCCCAGATCTGCACAGCGTCTTTGTCGGCCATTTGAATACCTGGTGTGGGACCATTGGCGATTCCATCACGGTCCTCGAAGGCAGTGACCTTCAGCTTCAGTGTTTGGCAGATGCCTCCCAGCCGCCGCTTTACGAGTGGACCCGAGAGGTGAGGGACCAGAAGCAACACTTGTGCGCACGTGCACACACACACACACACACACACCCTAGTGCCCCCTCCACACACACCCAGGAAGGAAGAGGTTCAAAGACCCTGAGGTCTTTTAAGACAGCTTTAAAAGCTTGGTTCTTCCAGCAGACCCTTGCTAGCCAAGCTTAGGATTAATCTTGGTTAATCCTGGTTACTTTTCTTTGCCCTTTAGTGTAGGTTGTGCATTCAGGCTGTTGGCTTGGTTCATGGTCCAGTGTTTCTTGGCCTCAGCAACTTTCAGATGTGTGGACTTCAACTCCCAGAATCCCCCAGCCAGCCTTGGGAGTTGGTCCATACATCTGAAAGTTGCTGAGGCCGAGAAACACTATTGTGATTCTAGATGTTACAAACCAACATTAGCAGTATGGCGTTTTAATTCCTTTTGTACGCTTTGTATTTCCTTCCCTGGTGGTTTGGCTTTATTCATTCTCTCTCAGTTCCTTTTCCTGATGTGTTTTTAAAGTCCCGTATGTCACCTTGAGTCATCCCAATTAGGTGGCTCATAAACCGAATCCCATAAAGGAAACAACAGTCCCGCTCTGTGGCAGAGCCCTGGTTTGCAGTCCCCGAATATGCAAATTCCCCAAAAATGCAAATTCCCCAAATATGGCTGGAAAAACTCAGGCCTGAAACACAGGACCGCTGTGTCTGGCATTCAGGCGGTTGGGTTAGTTCATGGTTCTTGGGGTTGCATGGATGGACTAATTCAGTGACCGTGGGCAATGTTATTTATATCTTCGGCCAGTGGCCAGCCCAAAATCAGGAGAAGGACCTTGTCTGGCTAACACATTCTCCGAAGCTTTCCTGAGCTACAGTTCACTTCATCAGATGCTCCATTTCATGAGATGTAGGTCACAACACTTCTGAATAAAATTTGTGAAGTCAGAAAAAGATTCCTCCTGATTTTGGCTACCGGACACTAACATGGCTCTCTTCCAGGGACCATCTTGATCCAATGCACCAAACTGGGTGAACCAAACACGGTTGCTGTGTTCACGTCCCACATAAACCCTGGGATGGCCTGGTTCACAAAAGATGGTGGGGGGTGTTTACAGTGGCTGTGTGGTGTGAGGACGGATTCTGCCACTGACTCTGGTTATTTTTGTTCTAAAATGATTACTGATGGTTTTATATGTTTGTACATTGGTTTTTTAACTTGCTCTTATTGTATTGTTTTTACCTGTTGTGAGCCACCCAAAGTCGCTTAGGAGATGGGCGGCCACACAAATCAAATAGATAACAACAACAGTGAGTGGCCCACTGCGTTAACCAATCCCACATTAGTCAAACCGAGTGGGTTTTTACAATGCCCAGTTATGGAAAACAACTTTCTGTGTTGGTGCACACACCAGCCAGAACCAAAAGTTGGGGAGGAGAAGTTTCTTAAACATAGTTCTTCTGCTCCAGGTCTTCTTATGGCAGTGTTGTCCAAACTTGGCCACTTTAAGATGAGTGGACTTCAACTCCCTCTGTGTTGGTGCACACACCAGCCAGAACCAAAAGTTGGGGAGGAGAAGTTTCTTAAACATAGTTCTTCTGCTCCAGGTCTTCTTATGGCAGTGTTGTCCAAACTTGGCCACTTTAAGATGAGTGGACTTCAACTCCCTCTGTGTTGGTGCACACACCAGCCAGAACCAAAAGTTGGGGAGGAGAAGTTTCTTAAACATAGTTCTTCTGCTCCAGGTCTTCTTATGGCAGTGTTGTCCAAACTTGGCCACTTTAAGATGAGTGGACTTCAACTCCCAGAATTCCCCAGCCAGCATGGCTGGCTGGGGAATTCTGGGAGTTGAAGTCCACTCAAAGTGGCCAAGTTTGGACAACACTGTCTTATGGCAACCTTTCCCAAATCAGCTGCTCAGGTATCAGAAAGCTGGTGGGGTTTCATAGCATCATCTTGCAGATCAAAAGCTTTCTTTTGACGGTTCTTTTTTTCTCCTGCAACAGGGGGATGACTGGATCCTGCCCTCTAGTTCCTTAAGCCTCACCAAGATAACCGAGGAGCAAGCTGGGACCTATACTTGCCAGGCCCACCATCCAACTTTGCCCCAGCTGAGCAAGAGCAAGTCAATCCATTTGCATGTGGAGGGCAGCAAGCGCAGCTTTACTTTTGGTGAGAACCCCTGAGTTTGGATGTTCAGTTATGGTGCCTGGCCATGTGGTATCTTCCAGATAGCTTGTGAGAACGCCCAGGAAGAGAGGCCACCAGGAGTCAGGACCCTTGTGTAGATCCATCATCTTTAATTAGGAGCTGTGCCCCACAGCAGTGGCCCTTAGGCCCGACCAAACCCTTTTTTCTTCTCCTGCTGCCCCAACCAACAATATTTATGGCCCAGCCCTGTTCATGATTACCTGGAAGTTAAATCCTGCTGTTTAGTAGGAGTTACTTGTAGGCACCTGTCTGTAGGACTGAGCTCTTAGGTGGTTCCCACAAGAGACTCAGCTGAAATGTATTTGGCTAAGGCTTAGCTTGCTGTGTGGACTCAACCACGGTGGCTTGCAAAATATAGTTCATGGCCTAGTAAGTAACATGAAACCAACCTACCAAGGTTTCTTCAACAAACTATGATCAAACAATGACCTAGCATGATATAGGAACCAGACTATTGGCTTGGATCTAGATTTCGTCAGCCAGGCCTCGTTCAACCTTCAAGTCGAAAGAGCCATAAAACGCGTGCCCCTGACTGAATCAGGAGGACTATTTTTAGGGGTGATTAAGGCTCCTATCAAATTTACCTTGTCAAAGTGATCTGTGACCCTCAGCCAAGGTACTTAATTTGTACACAGCCTTTCTTTTCACAATGGCAGCGGGGCAGACAATATAAGCATCTCCCAGGATCCAGACACTCCGCAGACACTCCCCGTAGCCTGGCACCTCTTTTCTGGGAGAAACCTAAAAGCACCCTCTGAAACCAGCCCAGCCTAATGTGAAGAAGGCCTAATGTGAAGAAGGCCTTTTAATAACAGCGTGGCTGTTTAATAACAGCGTTTCCCTGTGGGTGATCCCATGGCACGGAGGACTGCCTTTCTCTGCCCTCCGATGGAGCAGACGGGTGGAGGGCACCCGGCCGGTCCCTGTTTCTTGGTTGATCCTTTGTCTCTTCCAGATTCCGTGCTGTCATTCAGCACCCCAATGCTGGCCCTGGCTGTGGCGCTGCCAGCTGTGCTGTTGCTGCTGCTGATCTTGGTGTTTGCCTTCCTCATCCCCCGTCACCGGGCAGCCGCCATGAAGAAAATGGCCTTGTGAGTGTCACAGGGGATTTGGGGGCTGTGGTGGATTTGAAATTCTTTCCGACTCAAAATTCAGCCCATCCCACCCAAGGACATTCACGTCGTATTTATATAGCCGCCCATCTCACAATCAGGTGACTCTGGGCAGCGTACAACAAAGTTAAAAACAAAATGCAGAAATTCATATTCATATTATTACTATTGAAAACATTAAAATGATAAAAGGCACAAAACAGAATAAAACAGAATAAAAAAGAGAGTAGGCGAAGAGGAGGTGTTAATTATACTGGAGCCATCTCAATATTCGCCAGTCCCCTGGGGCCCCCAGGCCCGCTGACCCAGCCAGGTCTTGAGGGACCTCCAGAAAGCTAAAAGGGATGAGGCCAGCCTCACTTCTGGGGGAAGGATGTCCCATAAAGTGGGGGCCACAGCAGAAAAGTCCCACTGTCTAGGACCTGCCAAATGAAACTCCCTAGTTGCTGGGACCTGCAGCATGCCCTCTCTGCTGGATCTGGTGGGACAGGCAGATTCAGTCGGGGAGAGGCGGTCCCTCAAAAATAAAATATAGATGAAATCTGTAGAGATTGTTTTACCTTTCCAAAAAGTAGAGCCTGAAGTTTGTTCCGTCTACAACGAGATGCAGAGAATCCAGTTCCAGCTTAAGCATTGTTCTCTCTTTAGGGATTTCTTTGGGTCTTCCTGCTGCTGAATTTAACGGAGACCTGTTGACATACCTCTGGGAAGTGATGATACATGAACAAGCATCGAGGAGCCCGTACCATCGTTTGCATCATTCCCCACCCCAGCTTAGGCCATGTCTTTTTCCGTTCATGTATTTATGCATCAGTGGGGAGAATATGCTAACATGGGTCTTTTCTTTTTAGGGAAGAATCTGGCCAGCGCACCCCAATTTACAAAGGCAGCCTTGATTCTGTGCCTTCTGTGGTGGGGGACACCCAGCCATTGGTGATGTGAAGCAGAAGCACAGGTTAATAAACTTGTCTAGCATGCTTTCCTATCCATTTCTTCTGAAATCCTGGGAAAATCTGTTCATTCTTGTTCGTTCTTCAGTGCAGATGTTCATAAAGAGTATAAACAATTTCACAAAATACGTTGTTTTGGGAGAAATGGGCAGACTTTGTCCTTGATATATTGGTATCTGGAGAGCAGTCTGATAATTCACATATCTACTGAGTGTTTTAGAAACGCTCCCCCAGGGCGTCGCCTGAGGTTAGCCCAACTACAGAATTCAGGCAATTTAAAAGGGGAGAGGGGCTTCTTTTACAAATGCCATTTGTACATTAAAAAAAAAAAAGCTTGGGAAGCTATTCTCTCAAAATATCCTTGAACAGATTTTTAGTAGTAAGGAAAACAGATGTAACAAGCCGTGGGAAAAACAAAGAAGGCTTATTAAAAAAAATTGAGATTGTCTGGCTCCTCTTTACAATGCAGAGAGAGACAGGATGGTAAGCATTATCTACAGTGGGGCTTAAAAGTTGGTGAACCCTTCTGAATGTTCAATATTCCTCCATAAATAGGACCTAAAACGTGATCTGTTCTCCACACAAGTCCTAAAACTAGATAAAGAGAACATTTTCCGCAATAAATCAATGAACAAGTATAATGTTTTTTTGACCCCTTTGTTTAATTGGATTCCCTTTGTCTGGTTTCAGGACTTGTGTGGAGAACAGATCACATTTTAGGTCCTATTTATGCGTGAATATTGGACATTCAGAAGGGTTCACAAACTTTTAAGCACCACTGTACAAGTTGGAGCAGCGGGATGCTTTTCCTGGAGCTGATTAGGGTTTCCCCATGGAGTTGTTTGGGTTTATTATACCAGTTGGCACTAGTTGGAGAGTAGGGTTTGATAATTCCTGTGTATCTGGAGAATGTCAGCCTAGGGACTGTTCAGGAAAGATCGAGAGTCCTTCTAAATCAGCACTTTTCAAACTTGGCAACTTTAAGATGCATGGGCTTCAACGCCCAGAATTCCCCACCCAGTGGGGAATTCTGGGCGTTGAAGTCCACGCATCTTAAAGTTGCCAAGTTTGAAAAGCACCGAGCCAACAGATCCATTGGAACCACCACCAGCTGTGTTAATAACCTTTTTTTTTTTCTTTCCATCAGGATGAAATGGATCTTTTGTTTTCAATTTCAAGATCCAACTTTTTTCCTTTTTGATTGTGGAGCAGTGGCAATATCTTCAGTCTACAGTAACAGATTGTTTTGTGTATATTTGGGGCATTTGTTATCTTGATTTTTTTAGGGGGACCTGTTTGGAATAATTGAGGGGGGAGTAGTGATGTTGGGGTTCCTATGGATCTCTCCCTTCCAGCTACTCTAGCTGCTTTTTACCTGCCATTCTGTTACCCTTTCTAGACTGAATTTTCCTGCTGCTCGCTTCGCAAATGCCTACCCTGACCAATGTTAACCCATTTCCTGTTTGGATGGATGGATCTCTTTAAACTTTTTAACTTAGAGTAAATGGATAAAGGGTAAGGACCGGGGACATTACACACTTGGCAGAGTTGTCGAAAATAAATAAACATGGGCTCTTTTTATGCTCACCCTTGTTCTCCAGCAGAAGACATGTTGTATTAAAGAGAACCCTTTTTAAAAAAAAAAAATTATATCCAAGACAGGAAGACTCTTATCGTTAAAGAGAAGGCTGAAATTCAAGAAGCAAGAGAGGATCCGACCCTCCAAAATGGGGTGGGCAGGGGGAGATGAACATTGTATTTTGTTTTTGGGGTTTGGGGTGTATTCTGCACCCGCCCCCCAATTTCACTCAGGGCCCTCTGCAGCAGTCCGCCAATATATTTTAGCCTTTTCTGCAAAATGCAGCTTTGGAAACATGGAGGGATAAATAATCACTAGGCACTGAGGCTCGCAGATGGGGTACAATCTTGCAGAAAGTCTCCCTCTCTTTGACCTGTGGTCTACTCAAACGTCCGATCCATTTGGGTTTTCTTTCTTCCTCCTTTTACCCTCTTCCTGTGACCCAGAGTCCTCTGCAGCCCTGCATCGAAACCTAGAGGAGTTGTTTTTTTGTTTTTTGGTTGGTTAGAGCTTTGTGATAAGTCTTAAGGTAATACGCCTTGAATTTCGGTTGTGCTTTGCTATTATTTGCATGCCAGCACATGTGGGGGGTGGCGGCGTACAGAGGAACAAGTATATATCACGCTGTCTCTGCACCATGCAGTTTAAATGTCCCCCCATCCAGCACTTCCTTTCATCAAAATAAAATATAACAGAATCTTGCCATGGTGGCTGTTTGGAGCGAGTGACATCAGGGTTTTTTCCCCCCTTTTATCACCCGCACTCTCTACGGCGCCCGAGGGGGCCATAAACCAGGCCAAGCCAAAGACAGACACAGAGCAGTGTTCCCCCAACTTCTACAGAAACCAGCCGTAAAAGGCCTCTGTTGGATATTAAGCCCTAATAAAAAAAACACGCCATCTCTTCCGTCTCTGTGTATGTCAGAGGCAGGGCCTCTACATCATGCAAAATCAGCCGCGCTCCGCTATCGGGGAGAACAAATAGGGCGCCGCGGTGGTTACGGTTAGGTGCCGTTCTGCATCTCCACAGATGCATCGCTCCTCGTTGCAAAGGTACGATTTGGAGTACCGTAACCCAAACCCTAGTCATCCACCCAGGAATAAAACATACCAAATTACATTCTTGTTCTTTGAACAAAAAACTGAGCTATTGCTTGCTTCTCCTAAATAATGCACTTAAAACAAAATGAACTTGGATTTTAAGGAGGGCTCCCCTTTTTATCCCCAGGGAAGAGGGAACCCATGAAAGTTAACATGGAGTGTAATAGGCATAGGGTTATCGCCGTGTTTCTCAATCTGAGCCGCTTTCAGATGTGTGGACTTCAACACCCAGAATTCCCCAGCCAGCCTTCTGGGAGTTGAAGTCCACACATCTGAAAGTTGTTCAGATGGAGAAACTCCGGCCTATCAGGACTTGATAACTGCCATGAAATTTGGGCTGTTGGACTGCAAGAAGAGAATAGAGAATTGGAAATTAAGTCCAATTCAAAGCTAAGGGGATGACCGGCACTCAGGCAGACCCGGTCTGCAATCTAGGGCAGCCTGTTGTGAAGGGAACAGGAAGCGCTTTAGCACAGCAGTGAAAGAGGGGCACAGAGGGTGGAGTCACACATCAGACTGATCCCTAAAGCTAAGCGGTATTCATATCACGTGCCGCAGCCAGGGAAAGCAAGCGTGTTCTGGCATAAGGTGATGGCCTGGTTCATAAAACATGTGAGGACAAGACAACAGCTGGCTTTCCACAACACTGAGCCATAAACTACCCGGTCCCATTTTAGCTTAGCCTAACCTAGGATATTCTGAAATCTACCTTACCCACCTTTATCAAGGCTCCTGTGCTTTTGACAGCTCTTTAACAAGCAGCGATGAAGCTGGTTAGGGGTTTTTCTCCCCTCCCCCCTTCACCAAATCTGCATGCTTGTCATCTGGAAACTGAATATAGCCCAATTCCTTTCCCAACAGGGCATAATTTCAGCTTTCAGGGGAGGGAGGTGGCATGGTTTCAGCAGCAGAGGCGAGATTGACAGCCAGGGTCAATTTTCTCTTTGGATGTATTCAAGATTAGATCGTAAAAATGGCAATGCATTTTAAGAGGATGTGGTTACATCATCATACTCAGAGAAACGCGTGCTCCTAAAATTACAAGTGCCTTGCAACATGGGCTCAGCTTTGCCCTCGGTGTCCTCTCAAATCTGGAAGCTAGAAAGTAGCTGGTAAAAATGGCCCTTAAGACGGGTTGCGTGTCAGTGTTGCAATACTGAGTAAATCTCACCTGACTTCTCTGTCAAATGTCTCTTCCTTGCCATAAAAGGAGTAGCCAAGATACTTCACCTTGTCCACCGTTCCCCATCTTGTACTCTGGATCTGTCCTGCAGACCTATGCTATGCCTCCACCCTTCTCCTCTTAGCAATTGTTCAGTTTCCCAACAGGAATGAATACCGGAAGATTGAATGAATAAATAAAACCACAACCAACCTTGCCAAGGGGCCACCAAGAAGAAACGAACTGCTTTTTGAGGCCTGTCCAGTGGGGATCCTTGGAGAGTCTTTCTCCACTCTCCAGGCTCACGTTCCATATAATGGAAACAGGCAGCTGAGAGTTGCCTAAGCACTTTTTAATATATAAAATGGACCCATCACTTCAAGCAAACCAACAAAAACGGGTTGAAGGTGAAAAATGATGTCCCAGAAACAACTAGAATTAGCAATCGCATTATCTCTCAGTGGTCTTTGCTCCTTCATCACTTCCCCTTAAGGTCAGCTGTTCTTCAAGATGGCTCCTCTTCTTTGTCACCCCTTC